TTTTGACTAAATATTGCACAGTAAATCAAATGAAAACATTGATTTTGATGCTTTGGACTTGGATTTCTGAGTTTGGAATTCCAAAGTCTTGGAAGCCATACATTTTTGTGTATATCCAATTATAGGGCCTGAAAGAGACACCAAAAGCTAAGGTCAGCTTTGCTTAAAGTAACCATACCACAATAATACATATGGGTATACGAGAGAATGTGAAGCCTATTCGGGACATCAATTTAATTAGATAAGATTCACAATTGCATTTGACAGGAAAATATTAATTAGGGACCTACCAATAGACTATTTTTATATTACCAACTTTTGACTCCGGATTATATAATTTGTCGCCTGGTTACCTTGGACATCATGGTACTCGGTCAAGTAAGAGCAACCAAAATAAGTAAAATCAAACATATAATCGGTTTAATTTGAGGGGAAAGTTTATTGTTTTCCGATGATTTTGTAGTGAAAAAAAAATGTTAAGCAGGTAGTTTTCCCCAAAAATTGTACCAATTGAACGCTTGGTTTTACTTCTTTAGCTTGCTCTCACCTGACTTGGTACCATGATGTCCAAGGTAACCAGTCGACAAATTTTATAATCCGGAGTCAAAAGTCGGTAATATGAAAATAGTCTATTGATCTGCAGAAGGCAGTATCAGCTTGTTTGTCCATGTGTCCTTCTCAAATCGATACGCTTCTGCTTTATAACTTTAGAACCCTTTTGAATAGAGTGATGAAACTTGGCATGATTATTCAACATTATTATAGAAGGTCTGGGTTGCATACTAGGTACTGTGGATTCATTTATTTTCGTGGGTACCAATTTTCGTGGATATTTAATTTTGTGGTTTTTGCAAAGTCTGCCCACATTCCTTTAGAAAATTTGTAATTCGTTGAGCATTTAAATTCGTGGTTTCCCTGTACCAAGGAAATCCACGAAAATTGGTATCCAACGAATATTAATGAATCCACAGTATAAAAAAACATACACTGATGACCATGGTCAAAAAGTTTGTTGAATTAAGACACCCTAGTAAATATACATGTATAAAAAGGGTACCTAGAAGGTCATGGTTAAGTATAAAAAGGGTACCTAGAAGGTCATGGTAAAGAATGTCATGAATTGTTACCACAATGTACTTATTTACATGTTGCATGGCCCTCTGTGATGGCTCTCATCAGTATCCTCTAGTAATATGCTGTTCAGAAAGTTTATCTAGGAAGCTCAAAGTTTACTATAGTCAGTTTATGAATTTTGTAGTTACAACCTGGTCTTTAATCATGGTAGGGATTCCTTAAGGGATTTACAGCCTTGATTAAAGTAAAAATTATAAAACATTTGATTGAAGCTGACCTTATAGCATGAGTATTCTTGGAAATGTAAGAATGGATATTCTTGCTTCATTCAGTTTTGGTTGGGCAAAAACACAAACACTATGAATTATAGAAGGAAACCTAAATAATAATTTGTGTTTATTACATAGATAATCCATTGTTTGAATATAGAGAAGTAAAAGTACTAATGGTAAAGTAGACAACAAAGCAAAGATGAAGATTTTTTGGAGACAGACTTCTGTATAGAAGTTTGTATAATGTGCTCAATTGTTTCAATCATTGATTACTGGGCAATTTTTTCTTCTTTTATATGTAAATATTTAGAAACTTAATGTATACACACAATTACATCCAATTAGAAAAAAGTTGATGTAGGTAACAGCTATTAGAAAATTCAGAGGTAGACCTAATAGGATATTTATGGGTGAAGTAGAAAATGTGAAGGGAGGGAAAGGTTTGATAGATAAAAAAAGAGATGTTTAAACATAATTTGTATAATTTTGCATTGCTTTTTATTTAAACAGATCGTTGCAAAGCTCAATTTAATTTAAAGGATAATTCTGTTTATACACATATAAGGTTTGCGCAGAAGTGTTTTCCATCAGTTTTCAACCCTTTAACATTTGTTTGCAAGATAACAAAAATTGGTTGTTTTTTTTTTTTCCGTGATGTTTTTGTGTTTACTGTAATGTTGTTACCACTTGACTGTCTTCTTGTGTTCTATGTGGATCTCCATTCAGCACCGTTTGGGACCACTGAAACACATTCAGTGACTGGTTAAGTTGTGCATTTCTCAGAAACCTGTGAATATATTAATAACATATTGCAGTTACATTCCAGCTAAATGAGTATATTCTCTGGTCGGCAAGGTTTAGATAACAGTATGACGAACTTTTTTATCTCATGTTTTTTTTTTTAGGCATAGTTTTAATTATTAGTAACTTTCACAATATAAACAAAAGCAAGAGGGACCAACCATTATTAGGAATTAAGAATGACTTGAAATTATTGAATAGATAAGAAGGAAAATATAACTAGTGCATTGAGAAAGGCCATTGATTTTTTTCTCCAAGATAATTGAGTAAGTTGCACAGTTCATTAAGTTACAGGTCAGAGACTAATTGTAAGGAACCATAACTTACATTATTGATGTAATGTTAACACAAGAGTTATGGAAGTGCTCCCAACTTGCATCTTTATAGCTTTGAATATAAAAAAATATTTTGCACAATTTATATAATTTTTATGCAATTTTTGTGTCAGTCTGATTATTGTAGATGACTATCTCAGTGTTTATTTCCTTTTAATTTAATCTAAATAACTGAGAATTCAGAATTTTTTGTTTTATCATTTCATAAATGTTATGGGATTACATATTGCATTAACTTGTACTTGCAATTTAAATTTTGATTACGTTAATTATATGTACTACAATCACAATAATAAATCTATCAATTTTGTCCTTCTTACAACAATTGCAATATAAACAATAAATGCACACTATAAAGACAATGTCTATTTTTGTATTGTTGGTTAGCTGTCTCATTGATGTATATCTACATAGTTTATTATACCCCTGCTTTAAAAAAGTGGGAGTATACTGTTTTACCTCTGTCTGTCCATCCATCGGTCCATCCATCCGTCAGTCCATCCATCCGTCCGTCCGTCCCATGAATATTTTTTTGTCCCATCTTTCTCAGGAACTACATTACAAGGATTTCTGAAATTTGGTTTCAGGGTTTATATAAGTCAGCAGTACTGTGTGATGTGTTTTCAGATTCATCACTCAACAACTTCCTATTTACTGTATTTGGGCGGGGTATCATCATTGAGCAGTAGCTCGCAGTTTCACTTGTTTATTCAAAGTTTATAGATCTATATAGATATACAGGGATTTTTTTTACAACAAGATTATTCAATTCTTATTTTATATTAATGTCCAGTGTCAAATATTTGATGATAAAATTTGCAACTTAAGTTTGGATGAATGCCTGACATATTGATGCTGTGAAATTTATGGTCTGTATGTATAATAGTATTATGAAAATTATAACAAATGTTTATTTAAAGTATGTAACACAGTATTTTATAATACTTACTTAGAATATTTAGATTAAATTAAAAAGGAGATATTTCTTTAATCATGTTAATTGCTCTGTACAAATTGTATACAGCTATATCAAATAAGGAATGTTGAAAAGGAAATTATTTGGTGACAATGTTTCACTTTAAATATTGACAAGGCCCACCACTGAGCTAATTTATATAGTCCTACTCAGATATGTTACAAAATTAGAAGCTGTCATTAATAAAACAAGTAAATCTTATTTTCTGTATATATCAAGCCATAGGACTTAAATAAGTGCAACCCAACAGTGTCACATGACCTTATCCAGAATTTGATAAATATATGTAGATTTTTATATTTTATCTGCTGTTCAGAGTGATCCTTTTTGTGGCATAAGCATCATCAGTAGCACTCGGGAAGGTCTAATATTAGTTTTTATGGAAATCTAATGTTCTAAAATTTGTATAGAATTTAATCAGAATTGGACATATGTTAGAAAAGAAAATTCTATTTTAAAATTTATCCAATTTCTTTTTTTCTATGGTACTAAAACTGGATCTAGTTTAAAAAAAAAACAATACTGAGGATTCTACCACTTAAATAAATAAATTTCTTTTTTATGGTGCAAGCTAGTAAACAAAAAGAAATTAGTGTAAAAATAGAACACAATTAGAAACACAATAGAATTATAGTTTTGATGTTGTGCACTATTTCTGTACTTGTTTTGCATTAGTTGCAATGTAAGTGGTAAGATTATATTGTGTGAAAGCACTATGAAAGAATCTGAGAAAATCCAGATACTATACAAATTTGTCCGGAATGTTACAATAGAGTTACTTGAAAGACTTAAATTCTAGAAAAAAATGGGCATTTGTTAAGTACAGTTTCTGATATTTTTAATTCCCAATTTGATGAACAATGATTAGTTTGGTTTTATCAAGAACCTGTAATAAGAATATAGCTTTTGAAACGGTTTGCATATTCAATGAAGTTCACATATGATGATTCATTGGTTTTTTAGTAAGTAAATGATCTGGGTGGATATCTATTTTTTGTTCTGCCATTCTATTCCTAAGAATCTGTCCATTTGTCTGTTATAAGAAGTTTTTCAATGGTGTCAAACTTCATTTACCTATGAATGAAACAAAACATAAAAAAGAAAAACCCGCTGCATTTGAATGCACCTGTCCTAAGTCAGGAGCTTGTTGTTCAGTGGTTGTTGTTTGTTGGTGTGGTTCATGAGTGTTTCTCATTTTTTATATAAATCAAACTGTTGGTTATTCTGTTTGAATTGTTTTACACTAGTCAGTTTGGGTCCCTTTATAGCTTGCTGTTCGGTGTGAGCCAAGGCTCCGTGTTGAAGTCCGTACTTTGACCTATAATTGTTTACTTTTTATACATAATATGACTTCGATGGAGAGTTGTCTCATTGGCACTCATACCACATCTTCTTATTTATATTCATATTGTGTTTAGTTGTACAAGAAACATATATTATACATTTGAACATTCCAAAGAAAAACATGTCATTTCAACCATAAATATTGTTTGAAGTTTTGTTCACTATTGAAGATTAATATTTGTTTTGTCTTTCTTGCAGACTATGTCAACCAGCCTCACGTAGACCTGTTGCATTTTCTCCTAGTGCTGAAATGGGATTAACCGACATTGAAATGGCACATGGATTGGAATACGATGATGCTTATTTTGAAGAACGACCATATGAAATTGAATATGAGGTATATTTAACTAAAAACTATTGGATTCCATTCTTAATTATTCTTATCACACACTTTTATAGCTGACTTTACGGTTGTTTTTTTCTCATTGTTGAAGACTGTACGGTGGTCTATAATTGCTTGCTACCACTTCATTTTAACTCTTGATAGATAGTTGTCTCATTGGGCAATCATACCACATCTCCTCATTTTTATATCAAGAGTTTAAACACTACATTATTGTTTCCCAACAGACAGCATTGTACAAAACTTTTCACGAAAATTACAACTTTCAAACAGGAATGACATAATAAAAATGTGAAAAATACTCAGCCTGCCGTTTCTTTAAAACACTTGGGGCTCCTTTAAACTGATATTAATATCATTATGGATTATATTTTACAATAGAAATCTAAATTATCAATGATGGTAAATCTTCTTTAGCTTGTGACAGTGTGTTGTACAGTAAACTCACAGTTTATTATTAACCTGAGAAATTTAGAAAGCAATATCTGTTAGCTGTGGCCATCAATTGATGCTGCAAATAATGTTGCATGAAATCATTGCCATATCGATCATTGATATGAAAATTGTTACATCCTTAAACTCATACTGATTTAAATGGTTATGCCAAAACAAAGTCAAGATATTGCAAATCTCAACAAACACGATGATTTTGTTAAGAATTGTTAACAAAATTATAGGGTATTTGCATATGGGACACAACTTTTATATCTTTAATTCATATATTTTTAACCTAACATGTTCTGTTTTAAAGGTATAAAGTATTCAACAATTGCATAAGTGATATAGGAAGAATTTTATAAGAAAACAAATTTAAATAGTCCAAACAAGATAAACCTTTGGGTTTTTGCAAAATGTTTCAAATAGAATTGTTCATACTTTGACAATTGAAACTAATTCTTGTAGTTGTATTCTATTAGAATGATCAAATACTGGGGAAAATTTATATAAAAAAACCTTTTTAATTTGCTAAAACTGAACAGAAATCCCCTAAAGTCCAGGCAATCAATTAATTTGCATCACATATTTAAAATTTTATCTTTTTCACCATTAAAAAACAGATGCTGCTTAAGCAGAAACCGCTTTGGGACATTATCACAGAAAATATGTAATTTGATACCTACAGATTTCTTTTGAAAATTGATACCATGAATAAATTTCATATCAAGTTAGATGTTAGACATTAATAAATTACAATATTATTTTTAGTTGGGTGATTGTTTTCAAAGCATAATGTGTGATGAGAATAAATAGGTATATTGGCATATATAATGTAATAAGCAAGGTGAAATTATAAACTGGATCTAAATATTTGATAACTTGTGAAAAATATGAAAGTTTTACTTTTATTGTGATATTGTGATAGATTTATAGAATAATACTGGTGAAAATAACTTAAAAAATAAAAAATGATAAACTTTGTCAAATACTTCACATTAAGGATTGAATTTTAGTGACTCCATTTGCTCTGTCATGTATTAACAAAAAATCACAGTCAACCATCCAGGAGGCTTGTCTATTATTGAGGACCATATGTTTCATGAAAGAATGTTCATAGGTTCCGGAAAAATGGTGATTGGACAGGAAGCTATATGCTTTTAGGTCTTAAACTGAAATCAAAGATAGCTGTAACAGCCATAGCTCTTTGAAAAATCAAGTAAATGCTGTTTTTCTCAGAATCTATTTCATTTATTGAATTGATATGGTCCAAAATTTGGGTTGGAAATCTCAAATTGGAACCAAAGATAAAGAAAGATGCACTGCCTGAAAATATTGACACTTTTTCCTTCCAAAGTGTAGTTAAGGATGTACAACTCTGAGGAGCCAAAAATTTTGAGAATTAAACTTTTTTTTTCTTAACCTGATTTTTGGGTTTATATGACTAAAAAAATAATTGATGAAGAAAAAATCATATGGTGGTGCACTTCTTTTTTTGCTATGACCCTTTGAAAGTACCCAATTTTGATGATTTTCTCATTTTTCATCAATTTTTACCCATTTTTGGGCTATTATCGTGAAAAAAATCACAGTTCCGCAATTAAACTTTTTTTCATACTTTCAATAAAGATGAAGTGGACCAATCTGAAAAACTATAGGTAGGTGTTAATATAAGAAAGTTTTATCATATTTTGATGTTTTTTTGTGTCAAATTTACCATGTTGTCAATTTTGTAAATTTGTGATTTTTCTCTTATCTTAAGAACAAAATGCGTATTATTTCAACTTCTTTGTTATAAATGATTGAAAAAATACATATCTAAGAAATTTGAAAAGAAAAAAGTGATATGGGATGTACATATTTCTGGTAAAATCATTTCTTGTACCCCTCACCCATTTTATTAAAATTTTGGCTAAAAAGACTGACTTGATTGGTAATAAAATTTGAAAAATTTATTACTCAAAAACTACAAATTGTAGGTACACAATTTTTTCACAGAGTTAAGTTTGATTATAACATTTTTTAAATTCATTGATAGTTTCCACTTGTATCACATGTTTTGGATATAATTCCAGAACGAGATTTCAACGATACTGAAACATCAGAAGAATACATCCTTAATTGCAAGTGTCAATGAATGGCGATGGGCGATGTTTATAACCATTAATTTTTTTTCTGCAGAAAATTTTGTCTATAGCATTCATTGGGCCGTTATCTGCCAGCTGGGCAATATAGTCTCCTTTGAGCATGTTGTTGAAATGAAATAAATATTACCTTAATTAATAAGCTCAAAATACCTCATTAACTCTACAGATTTACCCATTCTTTCCTTGGCAAGAAAGATTCATCATACTGATAGCAAACTGTATGGACCGGACTGGCTTCATTTATCAAAATTAAATAGTCAGATTGATAGGAAAATATATAAATTATCATACCAAAATAAATTTATCATTGCTTCTTTTAAGTAGGATGCATGCCTTTTTCTTGGAAGCTTTGTGATATTTTCCCCCATAAAATTGTATGTTTCTTTTATGAGAGTATTACATGTATAAAAATATCGAGTATTATGTGACATCATACTTGCATTTAATGAAGAGTACATAGGGGCCAAACATTTAGCCCTTCTGACTAGCTACTTATGAAATAATTATAAGTTGGTTTTGGACTTCAAATAATCAAAGCTTTAATGTCCTCGCTGTAGCGGAGGGGGTATAAATTTTGCCCTTGTGCTTCCATCCATCCGTCCGTACGTACGTCCATCCCAAAATTGGTTTCCGTTCTCTAACTTTAGTTTGCCTCTACCAAATGTTATGAAACTTATACACAATGCTTATTACTACAAAACACAGATCAAGTTTGAATTTGGGTAGCATCACTTTTACCATTCTAGAGTAATGCCCCTTTAAAAATGGAAAAATGGCTGAATTTTTCGTTTCCGTTCTCTAACTTAAGGTTGCCTCAAACAAATGTTATGAAACTTATGTGCAATGCTTATTACCTCATAACACAGATTGAATTTTGGTGGCCTCACTTTTACTGTTCTAGAGTTATGCCCTTTACAAATGGAAAAATTGCTGAATTTTTCGTTTTTGTCCTCTAACTTAAGTTTGCCTCAACCAAATGTTATGAAACTTATACACAATGCTTATTACCACAAAACTGAGATCAAGTACATGTACAAATTTGGGTAGTCTCATTTTTACCGTTCTTGAGTTATGTCCCTTTATAACGTTATCAAGCGGGGCATCATCTGTGTCCCATGGACACATTCCCTATTTATTTAAACTGATTGAAGATCCACTTTCAGCTAAGTTATACAAGAAATTTTCTGCCTTCCCTAATTGGAGCATTTTAAAAATATTTGCTATGATTCTGAATTGAGAGAGACATAATGTTTGGATGGTTTATTTTAGTTGTTGTTTTTTTCTGTCTGATTTATGCTTGTTATTTGCAAGGGTCCATTATTCACATGACTATCATGTGATGCTGCAGCAATGATCTCTTAATTAACCTCAGACTCTATTTTTTTTTATATAAAAAGATCAGTGTGTATTGCTTTAAAATAAACATTGATGAATGAAAATTTATCCTTAAGTATGATGCAATTCTGATGTTGCAAATAAATATCCAACAGTAGTCATTTGATAAATGACTTCATATTTTGGTCTACCGCATGTCAATGCCTGTGGTCGGTGATGGTCGTAATAGCATGAAATGACCATTTGGATATAATTAATATTTCAGACATAATAGAAACAAAATCCCTAGCTTACTTCAGAATGGGAAAAAGATTGACTTCATTACAACAATGGGAGTTCAGAAGAGAAATTAATTCTCTTTTATGTGTGAAAATACTGGAAATGAGATTCATTAATGGTGAGAGAAAAAAAGAGTTATCCAGTTCAAGGTTCATATTTATAGTATTTTTCATATGAAATGAAACTGTTCTGTTTGGAAATGTTGGTATTGAAGGTTCAATTTAATCTTAAAAGAAAATATTGGGGAAATTAACAATTGCAGAAATACAATGAATTTCATTGCAAAATCAACAAAATGCTGTATTTTTGTTTGATCTGGCTAGATGTATTCCTGTTGATTGAATTTCGCAGACATAATAATTAAAAAGAATGGTGTAATTAATTTTAATTATGTAATGTGACAAAGTCTGATATCCATTTCTTCCAATATGAAATTAACATCAGTAATGACCATTTGCTACTGAGTTCCTGTTCACTTTTGAGTAGATAATTATTACATCACAGGGTTATCTACAAAATCTCTGATCAATTCCGATTGTTTTATGGTTAGATCATGTTTTAGGGACAAATAATTTGATTTTTAGATGGCAAACAAAATGAGAATATGCAATAATATATGTTTTGTAAGAACAATACATATCAATTACATGAAAGTAATACTGAATAATTTGTATTTTTTTCTATTCAATCAAGTCAGCAAAATTTATATCATTGGTGGTTTATTTATTTAACTTTCTTGGTATCAAAGGTATCAGATTTCGGTAAACGAAATCAGCCATGCTGCAGAAGTGTATTTTT